CTAGCCCCCCCCTCCCCTGCCCCCTACTTACCAGCTCTGAGTCCAGCTCCAGCTCCCTGCTGCAGTGGGCAGGGAGTGCCCAAATCATCGAAGCTCTCTGATTCTTTTCCGAATCGATTTGGTGAGCTTCAAATTGATTCAGACCTTTTTAATGGTCCCCTGATTCAATTCAGATTTGGAGATTCGGCTCCTAAATCGGGCTGAATCTCCTCCGAATCAAAATCAGCACCCAAAGCTTTGCACAGCCCTAGTGAACATGATTGCAACCAAAGATGTTTGTGCAATGCATGTTAGATACAAGGGTAATATAGTAAAATTCAGTTTGCAACAGCCCCAGGAAAGCTAGTGCCAATTATTGGGTTGTGAACATGTAAAACTCTAGGTTTGATTAAGAGACTGAATGCCATTGAGGGACTAGAAAGCAAGAATGTACAAGAAGAGTTTTATGATGTGTTTCAAGGCATAGGGAAATTTTCAACTGAGTACAAGATAGAATTAAAGGAACCAAATACTCCCACCATACATGCTCCAAGAAATGTTCCCCTTGTGCTAAGAGGGAAACTAAAAAAGGAATTAGAGGAATTAACAAGGAATGAACATGAACATAATAGAAAGAGTAGAGCAGCCACCTGCTTGGGTTCATTCACTGGTCATAATAGAAAAAAAAGATGGATCCTTAAGATTGTGCCTGGATCCTAAGCTAATAAACAGGTACATCAAAAGGGAGCATTTTCCCATTCCCACCTGGGAAGAGGTTTGGCAACGTGGCAGCAGTTCAATATTTCTCCAGTTTGGATTCCTCTCCTGGGTTTTGGCAAATTCCCCTAGAAATGCATAGAACTAGATTACGTACCTTCAATACACCCTTTGGAAGGGATTGCTTTCATAGGCTTCCTTTTGGACTGTGTTCTGCATCTGAAGTACTTCACAGAAAGGTACAACAAATTTTTGAAGGTCTTAATGGAACTATGGTTTATATTGATGATGTATTCATTTGGGGAAATACTATGGAAGAACACAACTTGAGGCTAAGAAAGACACCAGAAAGAGCTTGCAGAGCAGGTTTGAAACTGAACAAACAAAAATGCAAATTCAGGGTCAAAGAAATTACATATCTGGGAGAAAAGCTCTCTGAGAAAGGGATGCAAATTGATCCTGCTGGGGATAAAGCCATTACAAACATGCCATCCGCTACAGATAAGGAAGGAGTGCAAAGATTACTGGGAATG